TTTTTTTTTTTTTTTCAATGATAATCATTCTCCCCTCCAACCCTATCTTTATATATATATGAATTATACAGAAATACTAAAGTCTCGTTACGGGCGGAGAATCATGTCGTCGGAGTTTGTAACCGTTAGATCATCATGTAACAGTCAATGATAGATTGATAGTTGATCTAACGGTTACAAACCCCAACAGAATGGTTCTGACGGGACCGTAGCATCTTCCATGAATTAGAATAGTTAAGACAAAATATATATGATGGACGTAAACAAAATAAGATACAAGTGAATTTCGAACTTCATGGCAATTATAAAAATAAAGTCATCTATTATACATATATATATATATATATGCTAGAAAATTTCGTGTTCGAATTTCTTTCGTCCATTAGAATCAAAGGAAAAAAAAAAAAAAAAAATAATTTTCAGGTTTTGTATGACAAAATACGTACGTGGACCAGTAAAGTTTACGTGATATAATTTCACCGTACTAAATTCCATTAGGGGAAAGTATTATTTTGTTTAAAATTATGTGATTGGGTAATTAATCAAATGTATGAAAAATAAATAAATAAATAATGACCAGATGAACTCAAACTGAATGCTGGAAGCAATAATTTTATAACATTAAGGGAAAAATTATAAATTACTAAGCAACAGTGAAGGATTTTATCAGGCTATATTGCTCACAACCAAGGCCCGAAGAAATATTAATGGGCAAGGAAAAGAACTTAATAATAATAATAATAATAATAATAATAATAATAATAATAATAATAATAATAATAATAATAATAATAATAAACCGATGAAGAAATCACAGTTTTCAACACAACAATATAACAAACTAAAAATGGAAGGTTAACTAACTAAAAATGGAAGGTTAACTAACACTAGGAGCTGTAATGTAATTTGCTGTGGTTCAGACCCAATGTTTCGTAGTGTTGCAATCCGACTCGACCATGAACCCAAATTGCCAGCCCCTCGTCGACAAATATGTTAACGAACAAACGTTTTGTTCCTTTTTTTTAGTGATTATGTCCAGATTTTAGGCTAGAAAAGAATCGACTCGATTTCCCCTTCCATCCCTCCTTATCATCTCTGACCTGTTGCAATTATAAATCTCAGGCGTAATCCACAAGTGTATTTACTTACGTACACTAAATACAACAGCGCCGCACTCGTATTGCCCCCATTTGACATATTCCTCTGCAAAATCCTCGAGCACCCACTGAATCTAGATTAGATTTACTAGATGTTTTCTGAATAAAGCATGGATAAATATATGAACTCATAGGCCAAAGAAAAAAAAA